CCCCAAACTTTCAATAAAACACATTGCACATTCCAATTTGGGATTAGTGTTTCACTCTACATCTTCATCAAATTCCAGTGGAATGTTGGAGGAAATGATGGCATCATTGTAATATCTCGGACAGAAAATAAACACATGCAAAGTGCTCATTTCTAAGCCCAATAGTCTTAAGACAATGACGGAAGGAGCAAAGTGAAACCAATTGGAAATTGAGGATGCAATACGTTTAATTATGCATTATGCATGCATAGAGAAATCTATAAAAAACTTTGAGGCAATGTGTCATAATAACGCAAAGCTAGAAAGGCATTTCACGCGTGTTTTATTCTGAAAAAATCCCCCCTGTACTCTATAGTATCTCAATAACATAATCATATGAAAGCCTCTCTTAACTGCATTTGTCTCTTCATGACTGCGATCCTCATAATTATCGATCTTCTCTCCAAAATTGCCATTTGAAAATTCATACAATCCTATCCTTAAAGTTACACAGACAATCCAATTAAAGGTGGCATCTTCAGCATGACAAAAGGAAATATTATTCAATCTCCTCCCTTGTCTCAAACTCTTAATCACACCTCCGCTGCATTATCGTTCATAGATTGTTATTATCATACAACTCTGTTTGAGTTTCTAGGAAACAAAGTCATTAAAATGGATACTCATTCTATGTAAAATTTTCTTCACTACTCCCAAATTCTTGTAGACAAGCTATGTTCACACTCCTCACATTAATTACATTACCGCTTCCGTTCGTCCCACTCGAGGGGTTCAGCACACCCTACTCTATTAGACAAACTTCCTTAATCACACTGCTCTGTTTAACTGTGGATTGCAAAACATCTGTGCAGCTCCTACCAAAACCAGACATTTTTTAAGGACCTACAATATTCCTTTTTGACAAGCCAACAACAAGTCTACTCTACCCCACAAGAAGGAACTACACACTTCAAAATAGCTCACCCTTTTCTTCAGTAAGTAAATTTGCCTATCTTTCACAGCATCATACAAAGAACCCTCTTAATACCCTCACGTATCAGCTAAAATCAAACATTAAAAACTAAAAATCAAGCCCTCCTTTACATATAGCAACTATAATAATTTGCAACAATAGCACATACCAAAAACAACTCAAAAGAAGCCTTAATGTGGGAATTCGTACCTACGAAACTGAAACTTTCCAACAAGACCAAATTTAACAGGAGAAATAATAAATCACAATGACTCCAAATTCACTTAAACATTCATAACATTAAAGATACAGATCACAAGTTTAATGAGGTAAGAATGCGATGGCATTTTAAAATCTTGTATGTTTTCGAAAATTGTATTTAAGAAAACATCATAGAAGCAGCCAACAAATCAGGTGTGTTGATTATTAACCACTGGATATCTAAGCTCATTGCACAAATTAACTCAGGCAGACACTTGTCAGTCATAATATATTGTCTAGATTCTGGTGAAATTTATGTTGTGATTTCCAGCAAATCAAATATCCTAAAAGAGTATATCAAAAACAGAGAAGAAAGAGTGTTGGAATCAAAAACATGATAAGAACAGATTTAACTACCTACCCCTGGTGCATATGGTTTAGTTTCAGGAGGAGCCCACTCATCTGGAACTTTCAAGAACTTCTCGATGTCCTCAAACATATTCACAGCAAATATATGTGCTTTGTCTAACTTGTATCCATTTGTCTTCTCCTTAGCAAGTTCAGCTTCCTAAAATGGCCAGCCATGATAAACCAAATACATAAAAAATTACTTTTGGAGAAAGTATCATTGCAGAGAAGAAAGGAACTCAAATATTAACCGATAGATATTTTATATTAAAAGAAACAAATAGTTTATGAAAATTAGCAAATGACAACACTTTAAGACTATAAACGAAAATCTGATGGAAAAACTGCCTATAGCTCTCCAATCTTTTATCAACCAAACGTGCCTTATGTGCACATATACTCTCACAAATCTTCAATCATAAACTACCAATCAGGCCAAGTACTTACATTTGGCACAAACAAAAAATAATCCACTCTCCAGGAAAGCACGTGACCCAAGTTCCAGAGTTTGGATGTGCACAAAATGATATCCAAATAATATCTACATATATGTGCAGGTACAGATATTACAGAGAGGTTGTAGAGGAAATTAATTGACATGTTTGTTAGAAGCCAATTCTTGGTCCTTGAGAGTAGTATGACAAGCTCATAATCCTTGTAAGAAGCATAACTAAAAATTACCACTACACAAGTAGTTGGGTACTTTTGAGAAAAATAAATGACTGAAAAAAGAAGATCAATTGAGTACTCAAAATATGATTCCTAGATTCTGAGGTAAAAATAGGTTAATCCATCTACCAAAAAAAATTAGAGTCCTTTGGACTCCCAATTTTTTTTAGTGAGATATGCCTTGAATGCACCACTGTCAAGCAAGAAATTCAAGTTTTTTGCTTCAAATTAAATCACAATGTTTGCTTGTAGGGGAACTTGCCAAGACCAATCCAAAAGGACAGTTTAGGGAACTTATCTAACCTTTGAATTTCCTTTTAAGTAGACTCTTCATCAGGAACGTCAAAAAAAGAAAAGGTAAAGTCCAAATGTCTGGAGGGAGGGAGTAATTACAATACCTTCAAAGATATAATAATACTAGGAACTTTCATCTCGTAGACTATTAGATAAGCTTCAGCGGAAATGGCTGGCTCATGCCAAAGGCCCAAGGGACATGTAGCCACATTATTACCACAGTGTACATTGCTTCATCTAAAGTTTGAGTACGTTTTACTCAACCAGGTTGGATTGCAGTACACATCAAAATTCCAACACATACCAAAATTTCTAAAATAAAAGGTGATTTTATCATGGAAATTACTCAGCCAGGTTTCAATTGAAGAGGACTTAGGCTAGCCAGGTTTGGAAATCACTAGCCAGGTTTCAATTGGGGATTTTATCATGGAAATAAAAGGTTATTACAACCCCAAGAGACACATTGCCCCCAGTCTTAACTCAGCCTACATTGACCAAAAGGTGTTCCCAAGTTTGAATTTGTTTGGCTGATTGGCTCAATTGGGATTTGCAATGAAAAAAAAGACTTCCATTCAGACATGTGAACCTGCCTGTGTTAAGACCCTTTCATATGCTTCTGATCATCAACAAGACATCCCAGAATGTCAAGCTCCATAAAATACCCAATCCAAATAGCCAACATAGTCATGAGTTGAACTAAAAAGTAGAACCTTTCTCTTTTCCTTCCCAAGTCAAAAGAAATCTCCATAAAAGGATTTAAAATGAAGTCCTATTTAAACACCTACACAACCATGCACGGCTTCAAGTTGAACACATAAATATGTAGCAAAGGGACACAAACATCACCTAGCGTACTTTGTGTGCATATAACCATCAGGTGTAGCAGCTGCTGAGTCAAGGTAGTGATCTTCGGATTTGCCGAAAAGGCATGCACAGAGCTGTTATGTAGTTAAGTATATGTACATTTATGTAAATATACAAGAAGATGTACTGATGTACATATACGCACACCTAAACATAAATACAAAAATAGACAATTATAATTTGTACGCCTAGGCTGAGTTCCTTATTGAAAAATTACTCAAAAGTAAGTATTTTCTTTTATCTGCTAAAGGAAGTTACAATTTATATTGCTCATAATACTTCCAAGCCTAAAGATTATGTGGTGCCATTGACTAGTATGTACAAATGTAGAAATTTGTTAACTAGTGAAAAAGTCAATTGTGCAATATAGAGAGACAAAAATGGTATTAAGAAATGGTACCTGAGGAGTATTGTACTCGATGAAGCAGTACCCAAGGGTTTTCTGGGTGGCAGGATCAAGAGGCATCCAAAGCCCATCCTCTTTTATCACTCCTATTTGACTGTATATCTTCCGAACTACTCCCTCCAGCTTCTCAAATTTCTCCTTTGGAACAACTGGTAGATTATCCACCACAATAATATTACCAAACCCAGCATCAAACTCCAAAGGGTCCTCCTCATTCAAATCCTCATCATCACTAAACCGTCACAAAACAATAAGAATTTATTCAACTAGCATAAAAATAGAAACACACACACACACATAGTATCTATTTTCAACTGTATATAGAGAGGGAGAGACATTTGTGATAAGTGGTTTTTTTAATTAAACTCATTCGGATCATTATCATCACTAAACCATCACAAAACAAGATGAAAATATAAAACTTTTTGCCGTATAAACAAAAAATACAAACACAAACCCATACATACATATATACATATACATTCATCTATATAAGACAGATAAATAGATATTTGTGACAGGATTTCAATTATACTCATTCAGATCCTCATCATCTAAACCACCCATAAAACACAACGACAACGTAAAATTTGTTTCTTGAACTACACATGCATATCTGCATTTAAAACCGAGGGTTTTGAGAACTAAGGATTCTTGGGGTTACCTTTTGATGCCGAAGTCTTCACCAGGAGGGAGGCGAATGGAGTCCAAATCGAGCTGAGACAGATCGATGCCGAGGCGAGAGGCTGTCTCTTTGATTTCCTCCATTGACATCACGTCCTCCATAGTTCTTGCCCTGTGAAAGCAACCGACTTTAGAGAGAGAAAGAGAGAGAGAGAAAGAGAGAGAGAGAGAGAATAATTCTGTTCACCAATTTATCTTCAGCTAGTGCTCTAGTGCAGAGGCAGCGGTAACCGCGAGAGAGACAGAGAGATTTTAGGGTTTTTGTTGCGAGAGAGCTTTATGTCCGGTTCGGGGTTTGGGTCGGATCTAATTCGGTTCGGACAAAAAAACCCGGATTTACAGACCCAAACTAGGACATGGGTTTACTCTCAATTTCGGTTCGGAGCCAATATCGGAACTCTCTAGAAAAATGAAGCGAAACCAATCAGCGACATACACGTGCTTTTATATATTCATACTCACACACACAGAGGCACGCCTGCAGTGTTCAATGCCCTCTCTTTCTCTCTCTAGCACATTCTTAGAAGTTTTCGTCTCTATTTCTTATCCATGGCTTCCACTCTCATGAAGTGTTATGAAAAGCGCGCCTAGGCGCTCGCCTAGGCGAGAAGCGAGGCGAGGCGAGACTTGCTCACCTGGAGGAACCCAGACGAAGCGAACGTGAGCGAGGCGAGAAAAAAGCGAGAAAAAGCGAAAAAGCGAAAAAGCGAAAAAAGCGAAAAAGCGATCGCTTTTGTTATGCAAGGCGAAATATTTTATTTTTAATTTAGACCGTAGGATTGGGCGATTGCAAAAAAAATTTTAAGATGTTAATGTACCGAATTATTCCCTTATCCTATAAATAAAACTCCTAACCTAATTTTGTTTATTTTTTCTCAGATAGCTTCAATCGGTGCTGCCTCTCCACTGCTACACGATCGATCGGTGCTGCTCTCCACTGCTTCGATCGATGTTGCTTCGATCAGTGCTGCTCTCCACTGCTACACGATCGATCGGTGCTCCTCTCCACTGCTACACGACCGATTTGGTGCTGCTCTCCATTGCTGCTCTCCACTGCTACATGATCGGTACTGTTCTCCAGTGCTACACTCCAAGGCTTCGAGTTTTCGCTACTTCTACACCATTGTTGTTGCTGGACTGAGGGTTTAGAGGGCTGGTCTGGACTGTGGAGGTTAGTCTCTTCTTCTTCTTCTCTCTTCAATTTTTTTTTCTTCTATCTTCTGCTCCTTCACCGATTCTGGTTTTTTTTTTTTTTTCTTGATCTGATTCTACCCTATCCTGCTCTGATTCTACCCTATTCTGCTCCGATTGTGCTTCTTTTTTTTTTCATTATGCGTCTGTTTTTTTTTTTTTTTTTTGCTTTTTCCTTATGTTGCTGTCCAAACTCCATTCGATGTGAAGATCCCATAAAAATGTGAGTTAAAACCATATGTAAGCCTAGACAAAAAAAATAAAAAATTGTGAATGAAACTCCAGTCCGAAATACAATTTAATTAAGCTTTGATGGCATCTCACTCTCACATGATATGATCATTATAGGTGAACTAAATTTAACATACAGATTCAATTGTTCTTGCAATGGTATTTTGGACTAGAATGCAGGCAGTGATACTTGACGTTTTACATGGAATGGTATTGCTTCCCTATTCTTGGCCTATTGCCTGCATAAGTAAACCTGGGGCCTTTTCTGTGCTTGCAGTTCTTGCGGAGGCCAAGTGCCTTGGGGCGAGATACATTTGTGTGGAAAAGGATTCAAGCATTTTGACTTATTGAGAATGAATTAAATAAACCGTTTTATCTGATACTTTCATTTTCTGACTGAAAATTTTAAATCATGGTGTTATATTTGATATCTTTTCTATTGTTTAATCTTGCAATTCATGTCTTCAGGAATGTTTCATGAAGTCAAAGCCTTCCAACTGATTCCAAAATCGAATGAATTATGTCTAAGTTGTCAAAAAGTTTTTAAAGACTTCTCTTTTGTAGTCTCATGACATTGATTGTTTTGGAAATAAGTGGACAATGACTGGTTTCTGAGAATGATGGATATTAACGTGATTTGTTGTTTTTGAACAATTTAAATATAACGCTTTTCACGCACTAAATATAAATATTGAACTAAATTTGATGTGTAGTGCGTTAAAGGCGTCATGCCAAATCATGTCTTTAAAAACATTATTTCAAATAATCTTTTAATTCATGAAGGCGTTATTTAAAATAATGTCTTTTTAAAAGTGATTGAATTTGAGAAATAAATTTAAAAATAACTTATTTTGAAAAAAAAAATTGAGGTGGGGCATGCCTTTGGTGAATAATCGTGTGTAAGCTTAGTTTCATTTGGTAATAATATGGTCGGAGACTGCATAAGAATTATACAAACAAATGAAAATGCAAGACTTAATGCATTCAGTACAAGTTAAATTGTTTACATGTTAAATATGAAATTGTTTACAACGTAATGCTTCTGGTTTTTTTTTTTTTGTGTTATTGTCCTGATTCTGCTTCTGTCCAGTCAATATGAAATTGCTCCTGTGCTGCTTCAATTTTTTTTTCCTCAGTCGTCTGTTTTTTTTTTTTTTGTTGCATTCTACTGCTGTCCTGATTCTGCTTCTTTTGTTGTCCTGTCCTGTCAATATAAAATTGTTTACAACTGATATAAAATGTGATTCAGTACATGTGAATGTGTTTTGTTCCTTTGATTGTAGTGTGATAGTGTTATTCATAAATGACATCGTCGTCCGAAGGGAACAAAAAAGATCCGGCATGGAAATATGCACACTTGGTAAATCCTCAAAACACAAACAAGTTCAAATGCAATTTTTGTGAAAAAGAGTCAAACGAATATTGATGCCAGCGATCCTTTTAGAAAGGAAATGAGAGAAAGAGCCATCACAACATTTGCCCGATGGATGTATGACACGGGAATTCCCTTTAATGTTGTGAACTATGAAAGTTTTGCAGCAATGGTTGAAACTTTTGGACAATATGGTCCTGGTTTGAAACCCCCTTCTTACCATGAGGTTCGGGTCCCATTGCTCAACAAAGAAGTAGGGCATATAAAGTCATTGATGAAAGATCACCAAGAGGATTGGGCAAAATATGGATGTTCCATAATGGCCGATGGATGGACTGACAAGAGAGGGAGAACCTTGATTAATTTCTTAGTGAATTGTCCAAAAGGGACCATGTTCTTTGAATCTGTTGATGCTTCTGCATACTCAAAGGATGGGCAAAAAATGTTTGAATTGCTTGATAATTTTGTAGAGCGTATTGGTGAAGCTAATGTGATTCAAATTGTCACTGATAATGCGGCAGCAAATGTGTTAGCAGGTATGAGCTTCTTGAAAAAAAAAAAAAAGATAACTACTTGTTATATTGAATTTTTTTTATGCACACTAGTTGGTAAAAAAATCTTTATTTAATAGGTAAGTTTTTGGAGGCAAAACGACCAAATCTATATTGGACGCCATGTGCTGCCCACTGCTTGGACTTGGTATTGGAAGATATCTTCAAATTGTCAAACTTCAAGAGAACATTTGAAAGAGGAATAGCATTACACGGTTATATTTATAACCGTCCAACTCTGTTGAATATGATGAGACGATTTACCCAGTCAAGGGAGTTGATTAAGCCCGCAAAAACTAGATTTGCTACGGCTTTTCTTACGCTAACAAGGATCAACCAACAAAAAGGTAACTTGAGAAAAATGTTCACTTCAGAGGAATGGACTACAAGCAAATGGGCAAAAGAACAACAAGGCAAAAGGACAGCACAAATCATTTTAATGCCTTCATTTTGGAGTAATGTTGTCTACTCTCTTAAGCTTACTGGCCCTCTTGTCCGTGTGCTTCGATTGGTTGATGGTGAGAAAAAGCCTCCCATGGGGTACATTTATGAAGCTATGGACCGGGCTAAAGAAGCGATTGCTAATTCTTTTAATGGCAATGAAGAGAAGTACAAACACATATTTGAAATCATTGACCGAAGGTGGGAAGTTCAATTGCATCGGCCTTTGCATGCAGCTGGGTATTTTTTGAACCCAGAGTTTTTCTATTCCAATCCAGAGGTTGAGAAAGATCAAGAAGTCATGAATGACCTATATAAATGTTTGGAAAAGTTGGTCTCAAATCCTGCGATACAAGATAAAATTGGTCAAGAGTTGAGTATTTACATGAAAGGTGAAAACCTCTTTAAGTTGCCCATGGCGGTTAGACAAAGAACAACTAGGGCACCAGGTAATCTATGTTATCCCACAAGCTTATTTCATTATCATTGCTTAAATATGTTAGTTAATTAATTGTTATTCATTATTCACAGCTGATTGGTGGAGTGCATATGGGTCTGCAACTCCAAATTTGCAAACCTTTGCAAAAAAAGTTTTAAACCTTACTTGTAGTGCATCCGGTTGTGAGCGAAATTGGAGTGTGTTTGAGCATGTAAGTATCATCCTCAAACCTCTTCAATTACATTTTTTTTAATCTTATTATAAATTTTAATGTATTATTAATAAATTATTGCAGATACACACCAAAAAAAGAAATAGACTAGCTCAATCCCGTCTCAATGATTTGGTGTTTGTTAAGTATAATAGAGCTTTGAGGCGCCGATATGATTCTCGTGACACAATTGATCCAATATCTTTGAAGGATATTGATGATAGCAATGAGTGGTTGAATGGGAGAATGGATGCAGACACAGATGAAGATAATGAGCTTGTGTTTGGTGATGATACTTTGACTTGGGGCGAAGTCGCTCGAGCTTCTGCAGTTACGGAAAGTAGCCAACGGACTAGATCAATACCATCTACTAGGGTAACACCAAGGTTTACAAGATCGACGACTGGACTCACAGATGAGGAAGACATAATTTCAGATGAGGCAGAGGAGGAGGATACTGAGGGATATGAATCTAAGGATAATGAAGAAGATGATTTCTTTAGTGATGAGGATTGATTTCTAAGTCCTTGAGATATTTTCTTTAGTTGCTTGAATTATGTGTCTTATGTTTTTAAATATTAGGATTTGGGATATTATTAGTATTTGTATGAATTTAAATGTTTAAACTATGACTGTTATTAAGATTTGCAATATTATTAGTGTTTATTTTAATTTAAATGTTTATGGTTTTACTTTAAATGTTTATGGTTTTACTTGTATTTAAATATTTAGTATATATAAAATTAAAACTTTGATGTGTATAAGTAATTACACTAAAATATTTATTTATTTTTTTAACTGCTCGCTTCGCTTTGGTAAATCGTTTCGCTTCGCTTCTCGCTTCTCGCCTAGGCGTTAAGAGCCTTGGTCGCTTCGGTTCGCTTAACGCCTTAAATAACACTGCTCATGACTGTACTGAAACCCTTCACTGCGTACAACACCAAACGCCCTTCTCTCTCTGACCATTTCACATTTATATTCTAAAAATAATTTCATCCATTAATATTTGTTACATAGCTTTCAATTATATCGTGTCATGTCATGAAAAATAAATTACATTTGGGTCATTGAAAAAATATAATATAGTTCGGATTAATATTACTATTTATTGAAAAAAACAATTAAATTTTATTTTTAAACAGACATCTTCGGATTTTCTAGAAATAAACAAATAACGACTTAGATTTGAGTTGTATCGATATGTTTATTATTTTTGTGTTGGAAATTATTATTTTTTCCATGATGCATATGTTTTTTGTGATTAAAAGTGTATTGTACAAATTAATTTAAATAAATGAACAAAATATTTATTGTAATATTTTGTAAAAATACGTAATTTATTCATTTGTATTTTTTGTTGTAAAAATATCAATACTAATGGATTGGACTTTTTTTTTTCATTCCATTCCAAATATGGTATAGGATTAGATCACATTATTCTACACAAGGGTGAAATGGTCATTTTAATTTATTTTATTTTCACATGTTAATGGAGCCTACAAAACAAATGAAACTTATCCAAAGCTGGGATATGATTTGAATCTAATATTTATAATCTTCAAATCCAGACCACTTTGCATTGAGTTGGATTGAAAATCAAATCCAATCCAATCCAATCTTTCCATGGTGATCCAAACACCACCTTAAATTTTTTAATCAGCGCACCTCTAATCTTATACAAATTCATTCTTAAATTTTTTTATATTTTTTGTACAGAGTGTTTATGTTTATACTGACTATTAATTTATCGATTCAATTTTTTTACTCAAATTTAAATAGAGTTGAGAATAATCCAAACAACTTGGGTTTGTTTGCATAAGTTCTCAAAAAATGTTTTGGAAATTTTTTTTCAAAAAATGTGTTTTAATTTTTTATATCTCCTGTTTCTTTTTTAAAACATCCTGTATAAAATTTATATTAAATGCGTATAATGCATCTTATTAAGGATAAATCTATCAATTCGGTTGATTCAAATTGAATACAATTGAAAAACTCCGATCCAATAATCCGACAGATTTTTGTTTTTGCAATCCATATGTATACCCATTAAAAATCAAATATTAATCCAAAAATATGATCCAATTCAAAGACCAACTTCTACAAAAAATATTTTTATTTTTAACTTTATTTCATTTAATTTCACCATATACTCGTATGCATATATGACTCGGATCAAAAAACTGTTGAACCAAACAAAACTATTCGAAAAGAAATTTGAATAAAATTCAAATCCGATCCATTTACAAGTCCATTTTTAGCCACTACGCGTGCCACAAGTCTCAATGAGATGTCGGACTTAGAACGTTGACAAAACTGCTTCCCACCGTCATGTCATAGACCCTATTATAAATAGGAACCTTGGACAATGGACACCATCTGTTCACTTCAAAAATACTGATCATGGTTCATGAATCATGACCTTTGAACAAGGTTCTATTCCATTCAGAAGTGTGTGTCATATAGACTGATAAAAACCTCAATGAATCACCAACACTGCACGCACACACACAAATTCTGGTATTGGAAGTAAACAAATATACTTCTTGAATAGTACTGAAGTACCTTGACTGGTAGCATACAACTTAATACGAGCGAAATAAATGAAAATCGATGAACAAAACATTTACTTATTACAGCAGGAACAAAATATTACTCGATACATATCAGAAGCTGGAGAAAATGAAAAAGTTACAAAAACTCTTGAAAACCCGATAAAAGTTATGGAATGCCTATTCTCTTGTCATGCTTTATTTAAAAAATAAACAAGCTAAAACAGATACATAACTAAAAACTCAAACCTCAAGGGGTAGCATACACAGGGGCTGGCAAGAAAGGAAATGGCGCAACTGAGGCATATGCTACAGGTGGCCGTGCTTGGGCACCAACAGACGTATGTTTAACCTTATTCGGATGTCTGACATTTTCAGTCTCATGTAGAATAGTTCCCAGGGAAGAAGAAAGCTCAACAATCCTCTGTGAACTTTCCACTTCTATGCACTCCTGGCTCTCACGTACACGATGACATAGAAGCCCAGACATAAATACAGGAAGATAGAGAAGGCTGGCATGGAACATTCTCCTGGCATTCTTTGTGGTGCGGTTCAAATAAAATGACAATGCTGTTGCACTGATTGCAAGAGCCAGGAGGGTTGATTCAAGACAAAACCATCCGGAAGTTAGACCCCCTGCATACATCATTTGCAATGGGATGAATTCCCGACCACCAGCAAGTCATCTTAAAAGTAATCACATATTCATACTACTACTGCTTGCTTGCAATCAGTAGATTGCCTGGAGTTAGCACTCAAGAAAAATAACTTTTCTAACCGAAGAAAGCTGGAGAGAGAGAGAGATCAAATTAAAGCACTCATCAGAGAATGTCATAACATATAAAAAAATGAATAGATCTGATCTATGCTAAACACAAGAACTGATCCAAAAACCTCATCTAAATATGGTTCTATGAAAATATTAAATAACTGCGTACTGTACAAGATCGATCAGGGACCAAGGAAAGAAAGATAAGACAAAAGAACCACCACAAACATAATTTCAAGGATAAGAATGAATATTAAACCCCCCACCCCCCCGCCCCCCGCACGGGGGTTCTCTCTCTCTCTCACAAGTCATCCTTAACTCACTCAGCCTATGGGTGTCACCATCAGTTCAAAGCCAAAAAACTGTGCATTCCATTAAATGAAACCTTGAAGAACCACCAAATACGCTAGAACCAGTTACACAGTGCTGGACCCCCCTCAACTCTGAAGAAATTCAAGTTCACCAACAGTCCTCATCAATTCTGCTTTGATAATTCAGATTCTTTAATCTGATAAAGTTCAGGGATCTAATTTCTTTGGCATCCCACAGTGAACCTTTACCTTGACATGATATACATTGCTTGAGGTATCTAAAATGTACAGCTGCAAATCACTTGCACAACACTTATGAAACAGAGACATGTGACTCCTAGACAACATTTATTATCCTGCTTGGGTATATTCTGAGTGCATCAACACCTTATTTTCAAACTAAGTTGTCATTCAAAAACAACACGAGCGACATTTGAATTAGAGATTCAAATTACAACTAAGTTTTCAATGATAATTAATTACCAAGCACTAAAGTAAACCAAGGCTGGCATTATTGCTGAAGGCAACATTGATGCTGCCAGAGCATTTGGCATTCAAAGACAGAAGTGCCTATCAGTCAAAGTTCCATGGATCAGTGACCTCCTGAAACCACTCAGCGCCTCCCCACTCCCTCACCCTATCCCTTTCTCGTGATTTTATTTCCTCGTGGTCGTTCACATCACATACACCACATCCTCTCCTGCAGTAGCAACGAAAGACTAGTCGGCAATATCCCCACTCTGCCATGGTCGTCATCGTTCGCTAATCAATAATCCAAGTCTTAATGTGATTCCTTGATCTTGATTGACTTGTAAGAAACAAACAAAGGGACAAGTCACAGGTCCACTAGAACTTGATTGTAAGGCACATTTGTCTTTTTAGTCTTATTTTCTCTGGCCACATCATTGATGGCTCTGGGAGTAATTCACAATCATAACACCAACCTAAATTACACTTGTAATAAATGATGAATGAGAGAATGAGAGAAGACCTCCAAAACAATGTATTTAAATTCAGGGAGAACTCACAATCATAGGCCAGGTACCCCAATGGAAGCAGATAGAAGCAGTTTCTCAAAGCCACCGAGGCTGTTCTCTGACCAGATGTGTCGGCGAGAGAAAACATCCTAAACCTGAATGTAAAACAAAAAAGAGAGAAATGATTAAGAAAGTGCAGAAAGAGACCAGCATTAGATATTCCAAGTATCATGACTCCCAGTAAATGATTTTTGATAACCACGTAAACTGACAAATGTTACCACACAACCAAGGACAAAAAATTCGTTTTGGTGCATAGTTTAGGCCGGAACGTTTCAAAAAATGTTTCGGAAGCATTTCAAAATTAGGATGGAAACAAAGAAAAAATTTGAAAATATGTTTGTGAAACATCTTGAAACATTTGAAACCTACGAAACACATCTAAACATCCTGAAACACCTTGAGGCATAGAATGCCAATATATATATTTCAGTTTCCATGGAAACGAAAATGTTTCAAACATTTTTGAACAAAATTTTAGATCCTTGCCCACAACCCAAAAATCCCAAACAAAGAATTATCATATAATTCAAATTTCCATTTCATGCAAAAAAAATAGAATCGAGTAACAAGTCATACTTTTGAAGTGCACGTTGATATTTTCAACAGTTATTTATGAGCTAGTCAACACTTCAAGGCACAAGGTAGGGTAGAGAAGGATCGTGATTAATTGCACATGCACTTCTCCTATAAAACCCATTGGGTTGAATCTTGGAACAAAGCTGTCCAGCTGACTCCAGAAAAAGTTGGATCACAGCTTCCAACTATACAGGATAATTATAATCGTGGAGGCCTTTGGGTCTCCCAGTTATCTCACAGACACTATTAAAAGGTCTTTCGTGCCTTTAAAAGACACTCCAAATTAAAAGAAAAATGTAACTTGTAAATTGAAGTTTTGATCATCAAAATTGTAACTCCCACTCTCCTCACATTTTTGGAGATTTCGAAGATCATACTCACGCGTCCCGGATGCAGTTCTTCAGATCAAGGATAATGGCTTAACGAATTCTAAATCATCCAAACTACAAAATAGCTTAGCACATGCACATACCCCCCATCTGCATAATCTTGGCGGCACAAGTATGCAAGGGCCATGAAATGTGGTATTTGCCAAAAATATAGAGCAGCGGGGAGAATCATTCCATTAAGTGAAACCTGGCCAGAAGCAGCAGCCCACCTATAAATACAAAAGACAAACAAGTGTTAGGATTCTACATCAAACACAGGACACGGGCACGAGGGCACAGGTATATGCATAAGCATGACTGATAACTAGTGCCAAAGTAGTCTGTTGTGAAACTCCTAAGCAACAATCAAAGCCCGGTTACTAAATCTCACTGCGAATATCAGTTGTCAATCAAAAACATTCTTATATTTTCATTACAAAGAAAGGTAGCTGTACTTGGCAACCATCCGGATGTCATTTATAATATATTAAGATTTTTTTGTGAGACAGAGGGTGGGGGAGAGGAAAGGTTATACATCTGAAAACCGTTACTTTCTATTTATTAACAGTCCACTTTAAGACATCAGTAAGAACTTTGGTTCTATATTACCTACTATTCAACACAATGTTCCATCACAAAATGACCCTGGAACGGACTACAATAAGAGGTGTGGTACACATTAAGAAGTCCCAAGGTTGTAATGACAGAAATTTTGTTTACAAATGGCATCATAAAACTTACTGCATACTGATTACTGAGATAATTTTTATCTAAATTACATTGTTTTGACCCATGAAACCATTTAAGCCATAGAGACTGCAAGTTTACATATCAAAATGAAAAAAAATCCACTAGCTTATAGTTTCAACTTTCAATTTCTTTAGTTACATGCAATAATTACAGAAGTACCAAATGCTTTCATGCGTTGACAATGATCCCTAAGCTGGCAATATTCTTCTTATTAGAAAAGCAGTCCTGCAAATATATTCCTTCCAAAAGGGTGAAATTTCAAACCGAAGTCCAGAAAAAAAAATGTATCTTCACAAAAATCCAGGACATATTTGACTTGCTAAAGGAAAGTTGAAATGAGAGATAAACTGCAGTACCACAAACAGATGAAACTGTTGAGAAAATCATGTATAACCAAAGGACATTGAAGAGGAAAAGTATATCTGTGAACAGATCAAGGCAAATGTGCAATGAGAAGGGAAAAAGCTATACAAAAGAAAGTTTTACCCAAGAAGGGGTGGAATAGCACCAACAATAGCCCCAACCCACGTATTTATTGGATGTATCTGCTTCAGTGGAGTGTATACAAATGCATAGAGAACAAGATTAGAAGCTGCAAGCCCAGCTGCCAATGTATTCGCCTGCAAAAACCTTGTCATAGAAGTTGCAACATGAGTCCCGCAAACCTAACATATTAAGCATCAAGGAGCACAGGAATGCAGAATATTTATCAAATAGATGACAAAAGAATAAGTGCAATTATTTGCCACCTCGCATGCTAGTAAAGCTGTGCCTGCTAGACCAACAGAAGATGCCCAGGTGACTGCATGAGGTACAGTAACTCGCCCTGAAGGTAGTGGTCTTTGCCTTGTTCTCTTCATTTTAGCATCATTTTTTATTTCAAACACCTAGCACACACAATGCGTTGATTAAACAAATCCAGTTCAATGTCAATGATCAAACAAGCACAGTCCATGCTGAATATCTCAAAAACAATCTAAAATAATTTTACCCAATTAAATGAACAGATAAATAAATAAGTCTTACCACACGCCGTATTCTTTTCCCCTCATTCCTTTGTTTGGTATAGAAATGGAAAGGAATAAGATTGACGGAGAAGCTAACAGTCAAGTGGGAAATAAAAAGCACGGTTTGATGAAAATTGTGCAATCCAAGATGCCATAAAGATTAAATAAAGGACCTTTCATACACTTCTTCAGTAGTAACGATAAGGATATTAAACTTGAAGGGCATCACCCACTGATGGTCTCTAATGTCACATGATAGTATATGCAGATATACAATTTCAGTAGAAATACAATATAAACACTGGACAGCGAATGGATCTCAAGCCACCAGTGTTTTATTTTGCGAGGGGTTGGGTTGATAAACATCTGTCTGCAACAAGCCACTTTGCTTAAGATAATCTGATCCAGTGTCCTCCCTTGAGAATTGGAGAATTTCTTTGTTGGGTTTACAGAGGATCTTAGGCTCCACAAATGGATCCAACAAAGGACCATCGAAATTCAAGGCAGTGAATAATACTACAATGAGGCCTCATGAATCAATAGTGATCACAAAAAGTTATAGAATTTCACAGAAGGGCCTGATAGATTAGAGGAGTCTGATTATATTTCGGAGGAGAACATTATTCATTGGACCTCCCTTGGATGTCAATGAGATGAAATCTTACCCAGGAAAAACGTCTACTAAAAGCATTAAAAAGGGGGGGAGGGTGAGAGAGAGAGAGAGAGATGAGAAGAGGAAGATGAGGATGCGGATGAGGAATAGTATGATATGGGTAACGGGGATGAAACAATTGCTTTCAGTCACCTATTCTTGAAATTGACCAAACAGAATGAAAAGAGAAAATTTGTATTCGTGTGATGTCTAGTTTCTCACTGCGATAAAGATGGCTCTTCTGAGTTGAGTTTATCCTCTAAACATACCTTTTTTCACATTATTCAAAAGACAATCTAGACTTCTAGCCCATTTAAAATCAGCAAAAGAAATATTAGCTCAATATCTGGCAAACATTAAGCCCAAATACACAACCAAGTTTACATACAGTAACTCATGACCGGGTGAAACAATGAGTACGGTAGACAGTCAACAGCTAATCATTCATAACTTCAAAAAGCGAATCATACAATAAGCATTAAAACTAATTTATTTGATAGCATCTAAATGAAGAAAAGTACTTTGAAGAGCAGAGCAACATGGTCTAATGCATATGGCAAACCATCTACTCCACTTTTAAGGCACTGAGAGGAGAAAGGAGATTCTATGATATTAAGCCACTACAATTGATTCGCATGAAACTCCTAAGCATTCCTGAAGTAGATCGTAGTAGGGCAGAATCAGGAATGAGAAGGGAAGAAGAAGGGGATGAGAAAAGAAGAAGAAGGGGATGAGGACAGAGAGAGAATTTGATGAAAAAGCAATATCAGGATTCAATATCAGTAAAAATAATCCAAGTTTAGTTTAAATAAAACCTTTACATACATCACTTTAAAATAAATAAATAATGACAAATAAACCCTCATAAATTAAAAGAAATTATTTAAAAGATAAATATTAAAAGTATCTAAATAACTATCATAATTAATCTATAATATTTATCCAATTTCTACACAATTCTCATCATTCTCCTCCTGTTGACAAAACCTCTCCTCCGGAGAGTCTTCAAAGCAGAAGTACCCTAAGAGAGCAGTATGAAGATGACAGAACGCCTCATCTAGAATGAAAGAATCATCAACATTTTTTCATCGATCAGAATAAATGCAAACATCTCCATGTGTAGTAATGTAAATCTGGTCACGTAGCACATCATCTATTTGGCCTGAAGTATGCGATGGAAGTGGAAAGATAAAAACTGGAGCTAGTGTTGAGGAAGAAGTAATTCCACCTATAGAAACACTAGATAACAAAATAGGAGGTTCTGGAATACCTCGATTAAGTAGCATGTCCTCCAAATAAAAAACTGGACTAATACTAACATTTAATGAAAAATTAAAAAAATAAGCATTAAATCCAAACTTAAAAATAAAAAAATAATTCTCATTAGATTTGAACAAAAGGCATTCGGTGGGACAAGACATCAATGACAAAGGAGTAACTATAACACCCTAGTACTGAAAATAAGAAAGTACAAACTCAATTGAACACCTGATAGTAGGCAAAGAAAAAAAATTTACACTCTCAAGTGGGGTAGAATCCAAAACAATGTCAACAATCTCAGGTGGAGAAGAATCCACAACAATGCCATCATGATTCAGAATAGTAGACATAGAATAGTTGCCAACAGATTCTAAAATAGATAACTCAATATGTTCAACATCTTGCATTGGAACCAACTGAATAAATTTTTTCTCAAGTTCAATGATTAGTGATGATTCAATCTTTAGCTCCGATGATGTAAGAAACATGATAGGATCAAACACAATCTCATCACTAGTATCAATGTTCAAACGATTGAAAGTATGTTTTGAAGGACGGAAAATATGAGAGTCCAACAGAACATATATATGGCTATCATTATGCGGGTGTCCGACATTAGCTGAAACTGGAGACTTGTCCTTATTTTCTTCCATTTGTTGACTTGCAAGAATTTTAGTCAAGTGAAAAAGTTGAATTGTTAATTCAAATAATTGATTTTTCATCCATCTACACTCTTCACGTAATTGGCCGAGTCAATATTTAGTATTGGCAACTCCAATTTCAAAGGTCTCAACCTTTTTCTCAGGACATATTGGGCTTTTGGTCACTAATGACATTGAAGATAGATCCAAATTGACCTTGATAATAACTTTGGGAAGCATGACGTTGATAACTGTTATATGACCTAAGTGTCCCAGAGTAGTATTCTAGATAATCTTCATAATAAAACTCGAACTTACTATGGACTTTATGATAACTCCGAAAAACTCTAGGAGTGTAATAGGTATAGTAATGACGTTGTGGAGAACTGTGAACTTGAGACATTCTTGATGTTGAATAAGTATATGAATAGGCATCATAATGATCATATGAACTCATGACTGACTTTGAAAGATGAGAATAAAATAAGAATGAATTCAAGAATGCAATTGACAATTACAAGAAGTGAGAAAACTTAAATAGAAGAAAATATGTTTTAGACCCTTTGCAAATTCTCTAATTTTTCAATGAATAAAAATATTAGTCTCAAATTTTTATGGGAGTATGCATACCATAATCAAGAGAAAATTCTGAAATTTTATGGGGATGATTCTACAATTTTTGAAACTTTTGGGGTGATATTTCTGAAATTTTCTAAAATTTATGGGAGCGATTCTACAATTTTTTTATCTGTTGGGGATGTTTCTGTAAATTTAAATTTTTTGGGGTGTCACTGTAATTTTTGGAACTTCTAGGGTGATGTTTCTGTAATTTTTTGAATCAGGTGGGGAGGTTTCTACCATTCTAGAGTTCTGGATGATTTTTTTATAATTTGGTTAAACTTATAGAGGTGATTCTGTAATTTTCTAGACCTTTCTGGGGTGTTTTGTAATTTCTGGAAATTCTAAACTGGAGGTCTTGAAATTTTTTTGATTTTGCCTTCAATCAAAGGATCAAACCCCAAGATCTAGAATCTTTATCAACTCTCTATTTTGAATTAGGGTTGCGACCTATGAATCCCTATATACACATTGCTACGAGTTCTTGATATTAGAATGTCTCATCCTCCACCTGGATATTCTGGGAATAGCTCCGACAACAAGCATAACAAAAACAAAAAGAAAGAAAAGCAATAACAGAGCAATGGAGAACAAAACAGTGCAAGCACAGTCGCGATGAACAATATTTTTTTTTTTTTGTGATTTGTACGAATCAAAGTTGGACTCTAATACCAAATTGATGTAGATCATATTAGCTCTGATACCAAATTAATGTAGATCGTAGTAGGAAAGAATTAGGGTGAGAAAATAAGAAGAAAATAATGAAGATAGAAAGAGAATTTGAGGAAGAAACAATATTAGGATTCAATATTGGTAATAATAATCAAAGTTTAGTCTAAATAAAACCCTTACATGCATCCCTTTATATAGAAAAACTAAAACCCTAACATGCTAACATTTACTCTCGTTTAGGTGATGAGAAAGGGCAACAAGCTTACATGATTATTCTTATTAGGATTTTTTCGTTTATGTTATCTCCTTCCAGGAGAGTTGAAGTGTTCTACAAAAAAAAAATATTGGGGCTAATATTGTTATTATGTCCGTCCGACAAAATCAAATATTGAAGATGTCTTTCATGGTTTCGCACAGCCTACAAATAGAGCACTAAAGGGAAAACACAGCAGCGCACAAAATTGAACAATATTTCAGATTGAAGAGCTTTGGGATCTTGACTCTTTATTTCTTGTCCCTTTCCCGTTTCCACCCCCCATTGTCTTCCCTTCGCTTACACTTTTCTCTTTCTATTCTCTCTTTAATGGCATTGAGAGGCTCGGAAATTGCAGATGCACACTTCTGCTCCTCTTATCCTATCCCTATATCCCTCGTTTTCTCCCTTAATGAGTGAGAGGCTTGGCAGTCTGTCTTTGCAACCTCTCCCATTCTCTCTCTCGCACACATACACCCCTTCCAAAAAAAAACATGTTTCTTCGCATGTGTCATCAGAACAACAACACTTTATTCCCTCTGTGGCTGCCCACTACTTCTGTGAAGGTGTGCTCATGAGCCCTAAGGGTTATATCACACATCCTACAATACGCAATTACATGGTAAATACAGGCTTACTCTAGGGTCTAGACTTTAACACCAACCCAAAGACACGCACTCCATCAACAAAGGTGTTGTCTACATTTGCATATTTTACTAATAGAAGTTTTGTTTTCCGTCCAAAATGCTAGCTTACAAAGCAAACACTTCATGTCCATGTGGAAGTCATATCAATTTCTGTTCGATGGAGCCACAATCAAGGTCATGGTTCAAGGTCTCAGTACTGACAATCAATTTGAAGGGCACTACGATGCAATGTCAACGGCAACATGTAACGAGGGCAATGCACCCGAAATACTAGACAGAATAACATAAAAAGAG